CAAAGTTCCTGTAGAGTCAATCTGATTTGTAGCAAACTCAATACCTAAATATTGAGCTTGTTCAACACTCCAAATTCATCCCTTCCGCTGAACTCATCTCTTTCCTCATTAACAACTTGCAACAGAGAATTGCATATCTACTCCTCAACATTCTACTACCTTAACATTACCCAAAAATGTAAAAGAGAGCCTTCAGTACCCTTGACATTAGCTGGTGACATGAAAATGCAATTAGGTGTGCCTCTGCTACTTCTCTTCACTATGAAAAAAATAATCTATCGCTTCTTCATCCTTGATGCCCACGTCACCAATCTATCTGGAATTGGTGCCTCCCACTTGTTAAATTTCGGAAATCTTTTAACTACAGGAAAATGGTCAAATTCCTCTATTTTTTCTTTTTTTGGTTGAAAATCTGGTTACATTGTGTATGTATGCAGAGTGAATTATATGATGAAGAGATAATGTGTTTTCTTTCTCCATCCATTCTATAGCGTACAAAAATGATCCCAAAATATGATAAAAGAAAGCAGTTACATAAACATATTGAAATAAGCTTCCCGTGTCTTACAGGCATAATATAAATGATAATCATGTTTTGAAAAGGTTTAGCATATTGACATCATAATGGACATGCATATGTTTCTCTTTTTACTGCCCATTTTATTTTTTCCTAACAAGATGCTAATGTCCTTGTGCTTGTAACTTCATATAACAAGTTAGATCTAAAATCTGCTGTTAATAGGATCGGTAGATCTAAATATTGCCTTAACACTTACTCATTCTCTCACACTGATGTTTACAATAATGGATGTTATCATTACCTTATGGAGTTCATTTGTTTCAGCTACCTCTTTCTTTTTCTCATTCATTAGTTGTTTTCACATGAAAGAATAATGGCTAGTCATTCAATTTGATTTTCTTCTCATCTAGAGCACAAAGAAGAGATAGAAAAGGCTGAGGAAAAAGAACGGTTGCAGAAAGAAAAAGAAGAGCTAGAAAGAAAGGAAGATGAAGAATCTAAATTGAAGCAAAGCAAAGCTGAAGAGAATGCTGGAAGTGTAGGAGAACCTGAGAAGAATGATATCCATGATAAGATTGGCTCACTAGATGATTCTCCATCTCTACAGGTTTGTACTATTTAAGCTTGCGTTGACACCTGAAAGTTATATTATATTGCACATAATGTGTGTATATAGGCTAGAGATGACACGACAAACAAAACTGTTAAATATATAACTGCCACATGTCCATAACGAAGAAAAAAAATCTTGCTTGAAGGGAAAAAAGGTACAGTTTTCTCCCTTCTCTCCTTCCCTCCCATCCAGGAGAGGTAGTTGTTTTGTTCACTTCCCTCTCTAACAAAAGGTCTTCCAATGTTTGATATTGAATAATAGCTAGTGAATCAATTTGAAAGAAAAAAAAATTCATTATCCAATTTTCAACTGCAAGAAAATTGATCTTGACATAGGTAGTGCTACTGGGTTTTGTACAATAATGTCAAAAGCATTTATCTTATTAGATGGATAGATGTTGATTCCTTGTTCTCATTTCTATATCACTGTCCATAACAGCACTTTTAAGAAGTTGCACCGAAAATATAAGCATTGGGATTTCTTGAATCCTTTCCACTTTGATATTATGCAATCTCTTGTTATAGAATTTCTCCCAAATGAGAGTAACCCTAAGAAGCACAGATACGGATACGTAATTCGAATACGATACGATACAGGTACGTCAATACAACTTTTTTAAAAAAATTAGGGTACGCAGATATGTGTTATAAAATTCAACATAATTTCATTAATATAAAAAAATATTAAAAAGGAAGAAGACATGCTGATTTTAGTAACATATTTCCAAAGTGGTTTTGATAATTCTTCATCACTCGGTTGAGAAGAAGACACGTTTTAATGTTTTAAGTTTAAAAGTATTTGCCCTTTCTAAAACTCTATTTACTATTATATAAGATAGTTTTTTTAATAATTTATAATTACATTTATTTAAGGATATTAAATATATAGTGAAGTTTGACTATATCAATGTATAATTTATTAGCACGATTTTACATGTATTATCACTCTTTATTTTCAATAATAAAATTAAAGTAACACAATTTTACATTTATTATTTAATACTAGTTACTATCTATTTCCAATAATAAAAATATATTTATCAATTATTTACTCGGTTTCACATGTATTAAAATATTAAATAATATTGCATATTTTCAATAAAAAATATAGTTGTTAATTAATCTTAAAACTCTAGTTGTGCATTTTCAAAAAATATCATTAGTATTCAATAAGTTATTAAAATAATTAAATCCAGTACGTATCGAAAATAATTTAAAAATATAAAATAATTAAAAAGTATGTATTCGATACGTATCGCAAATTTAAAAAGTATAAAAATATATAAAATAGTTTAAAAATATGTATTCGGTACGTATCTGAGAGTATCCAAGCTTGAATACGTATTGGATATTAGTACGTAATGAGTTTACAAGTATCTGTACTTCTTAGGAGTAACCCAGTTTCAACACATGGAACTTCCCCGAGTCTCATGAAATAGTATGTATCTTGAAATAAATATTTTAAGTTGTTTTTAGGATTGTAAGATCTCCACTCAAAAATTACGGATGTACTTGCTTTATGCACACAATTATCGCTGAATGATAACAGGCTCAATTATCACGTGCTTTTGGTTTAGTCACTTCCACTATTTACATTACTGGTACTTAATAGGATATCGTGGAGGATAATCATAAATCTGTTGGTGACCCTAAGATTAGTGATCAGAGCAACAGAGTCGAACAGGTGAAAGGAGATTCTCTCCAGGTACTGTCTTCTACAGAAAAAATTCACCAGTGGAAGGTATATCAGGAACCATATTTAGGGTATGCACATACAATCATGTACGTCTCTCTTATGTAGGATACTGAACAGAATGAGGGAGATTCAACTGTTGATGGCGAAGCTGGTCTTGATACTGGAAATCAGGTATGTGCTTTTAGTATCCAGTTTTGTGCTGCATACATAAGTACATACCTGCATGCACGCATATAATACATATATAACAGATGAGTTAGCACATAAATGCACGAATGCCTATATGTATAAAGCTCAATTGTGTCATTGTAATAGTAGATTTTAGGTGCTTGATATTCAGGATGATGAAATCTGAGATTCTGCATACGTACGTACCTACCTGCATTCATGTCTGACGTGATTCGTGCAATATGAGTAATTCACTTCGTATTTCTAGGAGAAAGATGTACTTGAAGATACCGAGTCTTTATCGCGAGAAGAGTTAGGGCGTCGTATTGCTTCTCGGTGGACTGGTGAAATGGCTGAGCAACAAACCAAAGACGTTGATGCCTCTAAAGATAATGATCCTCAAAACCACGATGAAACGCTTGACGATAGCCATGATGAGGAATATGGTGGCTATGACTCAGAAGACGTTGATCAGAGGTATGATGATGATGATAACAGTGAAGACCAGTCTGAAGAGTATGAGGGGGAGGATCTTGAGGATTCGAGTTCTTCATACAAACCTGAGTCAGATGATGAATTACACTTGTCAGGTGTTTTATTCACTGTCAACTCTTGACATGGAAGCATACATGTATTTTCCATGTTCTTCTCCGCAGCTACAACTTCTAGTTAGCCAATGAGTTACTCATATTTGATTCAAATTGGTCAGATGTAACTGGTATGAATAGCCAATCGTGGCTGGAGAAGATACAGCAAACTGTGAAGAGCATCTTTCAGGCTGTCAATTTTTTACAAACTCCTGTGGATATATCTGGTACCAGTAGAGGGTTTATACTCCGTTCACTTTAGAACAGGAGTCAGTTGGATACTGATGCTTTTCCTGTTTTCCATTGTGCATCTGCAGACGCTGCACGTGTACGCAAAGAGTATGACGAATCCAGTTCAAAGTTATCCAAAATACAGTCCAGGATATCAAGTCTCACACAGAAGCTAAAATATGATTTTGGTGTGCTAGCCATTGATGCACTGTGACCTTTTCTGCTTTTTCTCTTTACATACACGTTCTTAAAGCTCACATTTTGACGTGATGGAGTTTTCTACAATTTTGTCTTGCAGGACATGAGAAGGAATTTTATTCATTCTATGGTCAATGTTTTGAGAGCAAGCAGAACAAGTTAGAAACTTCCTAGTTTATACTTCTTTGCTGTTTTTGACTTATATTGTGCTTTTGGTATGACATATTTCCGATTCATTGCAATTGGAATTGAAAATAATTGTTTCAGGTATGTTTACAAAATCTGTCCTTTTAAACAAGCTACTCAAGTGGAGGGTCATAGTACAACTCGTTTGGGGTAGGCATTTTTATACCTTGACATTTATATTGATATATGTTTATAATGTCCCTCCAATTGGACGTGTCAATATCAATGGTCATTTAAATATTAATGATGCTGATTTTCACCTCATATTTGATCTACTGTGTGTGATATCTACTAGAACACCTATCCAGTTCTATTTGATTCAGCCCTCTATCATCTACTATTAACCCCTGAATATAGGAGCTGGGAGAAATTTGATGAGTCCTATGGAATCATGCTATTTTCAAATGGAGATCATTGCTGGAATGGCCCAGATAGAAGCATAAAGGTGTCTGTTTTCAGCTTCTTCAATTTTTTGTTTGGGAATGTTACTCCAGTTCCCTTTCACGTAATGAGAAATTTTCATTATAATATACAGGTAAAGTTAAGATGTGGTTTGAAAAATGAAGTTTTAGACATAGGTGAACCAAGCCGTTGCGAGTAAGAATCGCTCTCTCTCTCTCTCATTTGGATTTACATATGCAAAATTGGCTGTGGGCATGTCAGTTTCTGTTTTCTCTCTTTTTATTTATTTATTGGATCTGTGGCATCTGAATATATTTGCATTTACAGGTACGCAGCGTTGTTGTCTACTCCAGCCTTGTGCGTGGAAGATAAACTTAAGGTTACATTTTATGCATTTTGTTGCTTTTATTTTTCCGTATTAATACTTTTCATCCATGCAGCAAGTTTTAATGTTGGTTGTGATGTAATAAAATATGCTAGGTACTGGAAGTTAAACTAGAGACGATGAACAACGAGCAACCCCAGGTTCACGATGAGCTTTGAACCCCTCGGAAAGTTTTACAGATGAAAAATCTTATTAGAACCAAATTATCCTCTCTTGAGAATAATTGTGCTTCACCTTGTGCGACAAATGCTGGAATTGTTTCTATGATGTCTGAAGGAAAACTTGAAGCTAAGATGAAGAGTCTGATGATTTAATTTTCCCCGCAGTTTACGTCAAATATGGATCATTGTTAAACAGAGAAGAAACTATCCTTTTCTGATTGACTTGGAAGAAAAAGCATCGGAACATCGCCCTTTTTTTTTCCTCTATATTAAAAACTCTAATTACTTAGCATCCTTCAAAATGATCTCACGACCTGCATTTTTGCTATTAATTTAATAATTTGTTTGCGCATTCTTCTCCACCTTGATCCCGCTACAATAGGGTGACTTTGCTCACTTTCTATACAGAATTTTTCTCCAACAGCTGGGCAACATAGTGACCCAAAATACTTGTATCTCCTTCCATTGGCAAGTCATTAAGTAGACCCATAGCCTCATCGGGGTGACCAGCTCATCCCAACAAATCTACCGTGCAAGAATGATGTTCCGTGGTAGGCCATATCGAGTATTTTGATTTCATGCGAGAACACATTGCAGAGCTTCTTTTCTGCTTTTATATCATGGAATACCACATCTTCACTTCTTCTTTCATCGTCTTCCTCTTCTCAAACTATAATAAACAGAATTGACTTAAACCTTCGCGTGGGTTTGAAATTTTGCAGATCGAACAAACGGAGAGAGATACACACTTCATTGAATTAGAATTCTTGAATTTTTGGGTTTTTGTTCACTGTAATTTATGCCTGATTCTGCAGTCGGATCCCACCACTAGAAAGAGACATACTAGTTTGTCATAGAACTTTGGTCTCGGTTAAAAAGTTGGCTTTTTCTCAAGGTAATGTCTCTCCACCTAGTGTGGGTTAATTCCATTTTTTTTTATCACTGAAATATGTAAATGAAATTTTATGGGTCTTGCTATGTTTTCATAAAAGTTATCACGATGAATTACATAATGTCATATGACACTTTACAATTTGTCAGTTTAAAATACAATCAATTTTTCATCAAATCCTTATGTAACATTTTATGTAATTCCTTATGTAACATTTTAATGTACAAGGAGCATAATCTTTTACGGTATATAGAACTTTGTAAAGTCTTCAAGTTGTGTTTTTTATGACTTTAAATAGTATCAAACGCGGAGGTTGCATTAGGGTATCATTAGGGGCATAATGAATTTTTGGATGGTTATTAGATTGATTAAGGTAAATAATAATATTTGATTTTTTAAGTTAAAAATGACATTTATGCTATTTAACCATTTCCTCCATCCATAATTCCTTTAAAAAAAAAAAATCTTCCACCCGCAGTAAGTTTTTGTGTTGATAGTGCAAATAATATTTTTGACGGAAAAGATGAGGATTATCATCCAACTTCGTCCACCATTATCATTCACCTACTCAGTTCATTTTAATTTCTTATTAATTTTTCACGCAATCTAATATTGTGCCCCAAACGCAACCGTAAAACTTATTTCTTAAAAGAGTTACAAGAAGTGTAACCTAGCAATCACTCGAAGTCGAAGGGGTAAAGAACCTTTTCTTTGCACAAATGGTCAGATAAACTCGAATGGTCCATTCGTATCCTCTCCAATTCATTATACAACACGAAAAATTAAAAAAATATAAAAGTTTATTTATCCCGTGCCTCTGCCCCCATTGCAACCGATAATGACACAAAATAGTAAAAAATCATCAAAGTTTAAAACGTATCAATTTAGTCATCAAACTTTTGTTTTAGCATAAATGATTAAAATACATAATTTTTTTTCAATTAAGTCACTGTTTACGGAGTTAATCGATTTAACGGATTCGGGGATGTGTGAAAAATGCACTAACAACTAAAAAAATCATCAACAATTGGATTTCATTATAGTTTATGTTTAACACATTCATCCGAATTAAATTCATACAGATGTACGAGAAATTGAATTCAGATTCAAAAATTGGACAAAATGGATCGATAATAACTTAATGCATTTGGCAACGCAACAATCCTTTGTGGAAATAGCCCAAACATCGTCGAAATAAGTAATTAAACTGGAATAAATTCGATAACTAAAGTCAGCATTTTAAAAAAATATAGGGACCCAATAAAAAAGAACCAATACTTAACAGTAGTCGTGTGGGATGTGGACACCTTGTGATGAACAAATGAAATCTCTTGTGCTTTCCTTTTGACAATTTATAAAATTCAAAACATACAGTCACACAACAAATCTCTTTCTGAAATTGATCGGTATAATATTAGTGTTTATATATTTTCTGGATCGGAATTTGTGCGATTGAAATCGAATAAGAATTGATCCATACATGGCGGCGATGAACAGCAGTTATGGCAACGGCGGTGAAATCATGGAGGAGAGAAGACCCAAAACGAAGATTGTATGCACTCTTGGACCGGCGTCTCGCTCTGTGCCGATGGTGGAAAAGCTCCTTCGTGCAGGTATGAACGTGGCCCGATTCAATTTCTCTCACGGATCTCACGAGTACCATCAGGAGACTCTCGACAATCTTCGAAAGGCTATGGAGAATACTGGAATCCTCTGCGCCGTCATGCTAGACACCAAGGTTTACTTTTTCTCTCTGTGTGTGCGAAAGTGAGCGTGTGTGATTATATGGTATACAAGGGCTGTTATATTTTGTGTTTTTTTTAAAAAAAAAAAATTCTTGTATTGAGTGATCTTTGTCTGTTTGTTATCATACCGGCCACTATTTAATGCTGATATTCTATTTTCTGCAGAAATAGCGTAAGCACTGATCTACTTTTATTTGAAGAAATTTATTTTTTCATTTTTGGAATTATAAATATTTTTGAGATATTTTGTTTTGCTGCTCTTCATTTTCATCATTATATGGACTGTTGTGCTGAAATTTTTCTCACTTTGGGAATTATCTGAATTTTTGAGAATCCTCCACTATACCTATGCCCCTCCCCTTATTGAGAAATAGATGAATTGCTTGATTATAGAGAATTTATCAACAGATACTACACTTCTTTAGTACACTGGTCTAGTCTTTCTATAAGATGCTTTTGAATGATCAATAGATTCTGTTGAGTAATGGTCTCGTTATGGTTTCCGTTTCTCTGGTAATTGCTTATGTGATTATTTTATGATGTTCCTTGGTTTAAACTTTCTTAAGCTTTAATGTAACTAAGTTAGCTAATACACGAGAAAGCAGTTACATCTTGTCCCACTTTGGAGAGTCCTTCCTTGAGCTACTGGTCTCTCTGTCTCTTGCCAATGAATTCTACCCAAACAGAGATGTCTACTTCAGGAGCTTGTTGAGCTAGTGCAGGGTTTTCTTCCATTTGGTTCTCTTTTTTAGTTGTTAATATTATGGAGTTCATGAACTTTGTTCCATCTTGATTTGAAGTGGCTATTGCCATAATATTCTCTCTTGAATCTTATTATGTGAACAGTTAACATTGACATTTGTGTGATAACACAGGGTCCAGAAATCCGAACTGGGTTTTTGAAAGATGGTAAGCCTGTTCAGCTGAAACAGGGCCAAGAGATCACAATTTCCACTGATTATACTATCAAGGGCGATGAGAACACCATCTGCATGAGCTACAAAAAATTAGCTGTGGATGTAAAGCCTGGAAGTGTGATACTGTGTGCAGATGGCACAATCTCATTCAATGTTTTGTCTTGTGACAGAGAGAAAGGATTAGTTCGATGCCGCTGTGAGAACACAGCAGTTCTTGGTGAGAGAAAGAATGTAAATCTCCCTGGGGTTATTGTGGATCTCCCAACTTTGACAGAGAAAGACAAGGAAGATATCTTAAAGTGGGGGGTTCCTAATAAAATAGACATGATTGCTCTTTCTTTTGTTCGCAAAGGTTCAGATCTCGTGGAGGTTCGAAAGTTGCTAGGTGAACACGCCAAAACCATACTTCTTATGTCAAAGGTTGGTTAGCATTATTTTCTACCTATTAATACATATCATTCTAAATCCAGACCTGTAACAAAATGAAGTTCCATTTCTGACTGCTGATATTTGTTTCCCTTAATAAACCATCTTAAGACCCAGAAAGATTGTGCATAATTCAGTTTGTTTAGAGAATAATATTTGGGAGTGAAGATTGAAGAATTATAGTCGCTCAAGAGTGGAGATAGTGACATAGTGTTAGTCTTTCCAGTCACTTAGGGATGTCTGTGACACAATCTTGGCATATCTAAAATGTCTGAGACCGCTCTTATGATTCATCGTTGGCTCCATTTTCAAACGAGGCTTCCATATCAGAAGTTATGTAGTGCACAGTTTGTCATCTAAATGTTGATTGCTGTTGTTCATTTGATTTGTTAATCATGGAAGTGAGACCATTAAGTTTAAGCTTCTTTTTATGTATATCTCGGTGTGATGAAGTAGCTGTACATATTCTTGTTCCTCATATTTCGCATTTTTATTAGGTCGAAAATCAAGAAGGGGTGGCGAATTTTGATGATATTCTGGCTAACTCTGATGCATTCATGGTGGCACGTGGTGATCTGGGGATGGAAATTCCCATTGAGAAAATATTTTTAGCACAAAAGGTGATGGTGTACAAGTGCAACATCCAAGGGAAGCCTGTTGTGACTGCAACTCAGATGTTGGAATCCATGATCAAGTCTCCAAGACCAACTAGAGCAGAAGCCACAGATGTTGCCAATGCCGTTCTTGATGGAACAGACTGTGTAATGCTCAGCGGTGAAACTGCTGCAGGAGCTTATCCAGATCTAGCAGTTCGTACTATGGCAAAAATTTGTATAGAAGCAGAAAGTACAATTGACTATGCAGATGTCTTCAAAAGGATTACGGCAAATGCCCCAGTACCCATGAGCCCATTAGAGAGCCTTGCTTCATCTGCAGTACGAACAGCTAACTCAGCAAAAGCATCCCTTATTTTGGTCCTAACCAGAGGAGGAAGTACTGCAAAACTGGTGGCCAAGTATAGGCCAGGCTTGCCGATATTATCTGTGGTTGTTCCTGAGATCAAGACTGATTCTTTTGATTGGTCATGCAGTGATGAATCTCCAGCTAGGCAAAGCCTTATCTTCAGGGGGTTGGTTCCCGTTCTCTGTGCAGGATCTGCAAGGGCTTCTCATGAAGAGTCCACAGAGGAAGCCCTGGAATTCGCTCTTCAACATGCTAAAACAAAAGGGCTCTGCAAGGTGGGAGATGCTGTTGTGGCCCTACACCGCATTGGAACTGCATCGATCATCAAGATTGTGACTGTGAAGTGATGAATTTGAGTTTTCTGCTCACTGGGTTTGTGTGTTTCAGAGGGGTTAGAGATAAATGCAGATAAAAGACTTCCTTGAATTTTTACTAATTTTTATCCTTCGAGGATGGACACAAATTATGTTTTCATTTGCTTATTTCTTGTCTTGGCACCCCAAGTTTCAGATCTAGTGAGCTGGATCTTTGCTTCTTATTTGTTAAGTGACTATAGACAGCCATGTCCACTGAGGACTGCTTGTCGTCTTAATTTGAAAACTTCAATAAGCAATAGATTAAAAAAACACTTCCCTTGCGACTGTTTCATTGGTTGGCTATGGTGGTTCGTGATTATTATAAGAGGAACTTCATCAGAGATGCCCATTTAACACTACCCTGATGAATTCTGGTTATCTATTATAGTTTGAGAGAGAGCGGTGCAAAGCTTCAATATGGCAACCAATGATGATTCTTTGAGATACAAAACTATAATCAATTCTCTCTATGAAATGTTCCTTGCCATTAAGAGGTAATAGAGCAAGATAGATAGCTCCTATTTGTCTTCCATTCTCTTAAAACTCCTTTTTTTATATACTCATTTTCAACCACATTTCACACCCAAAACTTTTTCGTACTTTTTAACCGTACATTATCCAAAAAATCACTATTTAAAACAATGTTTTTCCAAAAAAAAAAAAAATGACCACCAAACAGGGACATGATACAACAACAAACTAAACCTTGTTTTCAATATATTTGGAGCGAGTTGGTTCATTGCAACATCCATGGAAGCTATGAGACAACTATATCCATAGAAACTACAAGAATCATTTTAAAAATTCAAATTGACAACCATATAACATGAAAACACAATCTGTTTTTGGAATAGTACTATTGGGTATGTAAAATTCTATATACAAAAGCAAGGCTAAACATATATGGAACGTGTATCACAATAAGCTGATAGGAATACAGCCTACACTTGAAAACTTAGCTCTCATCATTAGGTGAAGTACTTGCGGGTGCAGTTGTTGATGACCCTGATGGTGACATTGAGGATGAAGTCCCCGTACTAGAGTGGGAACCGGAGGATGAAAACAAACTACTAAAAGGCCATGGAAGGGGAACCGAAAAACGTCTTCCATTTCCATTTCTGTCATCCCGCTCTGCATTGTTGTTATTACTATGATTTGTAGATCCATCTGAATCGAGCTTGGATTCATCAGAAGGTAACTGGTACCTACAGACAGGACATGAACTATGAAGCTCGAGCCATGGTAAGATACATCCGCTGTGGAACTTATGCTTGCAAGGTATCTCCTTCGCTTCAGCCCCAACCTCAAAATCTTCCAAGCAAACGGAGCATTGCACCGCTTTATCAATTTTCACAGTGGGCAATGCTTCTACTGCCTCTTTTTGAGCCGGCAGAGTCCCATATCTGTTTGGATCATTCTCAGCCAAATGCTGCAGCAACAAGTCTAAACCAGGACCCATGAAATAATCACCCAGCGAGCCACTAGGAGTGCGGTTTTGGTGGTCATTATTGGGATCATAAGAACCCTGAATTGTGATTGTTTGATTGAAGGGATTGATCAAAATCATATCGTCTCTGTTCCTATTATTATCTCTATCGCTCACCCTGATATCACTCTCGGAATTTATTGATTCAGACATCATTCCAGCTCTAATACCTTGGAGGAGCTGGAGAATTGTAGCTGAGCTCCTTCTCCTCCTCCTCGTTATTGACTCCATTTCACGATCAAGCTCCATCCCCACCTCGCGGTGAGGATTATTGTTCTCGTCCTCCTCACCATCGTCTTCAAATTCCACACGTCTAAGAGGACGACGGCGATGAGAGTTAGTCATCATGCCAAGCAAGATTGGGGCCCAGAGGGAGAGGGCCCGCTCAGAATCAATCCCTTCAGGTCCAAAATCAAGAGTTTGATCATTTTCCGCAGCAGTGGGAGAGGCAATTTCTTCCACAAATCCACTTTGACAGATGGGGCATTCTATCGTCTCGACCTCCACGATAGGATTCACCATCTGTGAACACATGTGACACCAATATCTTGATGTGTCTGCTTCATCCATTTTCTTATCCTTCAATTTTTTTTTTATCCTGCTTCACAGCAAACAACATTCTCAAGTCAATCAACAATGGAACAAAGATCGAGGATTTCCAGAAGACAGGCCAATTAATCGAAGCTCTAATTCTGAAGTTTCTTCCATTTTTTATTTTTTTTTGCAGATCTAATTTGGATTTTTACAAAACGTGGAATAAATCAAATTGTAAATACAAGAAACAAAAACCCAAAAATTTCGAAACCCATTAAACAGTATTAGATCCTTAACCCCTATTTCCTCAGCTATTTAAAATAATAAAAATTATGGAGTAACGAATTAAGGAAAAAAAAAAACCTAATAAGCTGGCAAGTCATTAAACAGGATCAGATTCCCCCCAACCCCACAAAACATCTTTTCTCAGCTGCTCAAAATAATAAAAATTAAAGAGAAAATACCAGAATAATCAACAGATCGTGTTAGAGGACCCAAATTGTGTCGATCGTCAGAGGCCGAAGAAAAATCTACATTAGAAAATGAAGGAAATGATAAATAACAACAAGAAACTGCAAAAGAATCTTACCGTTATTAAGAAGCAAAGAACTGATTAGATACAATTATATTTACAGGGATGAGAAAGAGAAAAGAGGAATGTGCAAATCAACACATAATGAATGGTTCTCGTTCGTACATAGAGTGATATTTTTGTGGTTTGAAGAAGATCGATCAGAAATGAAGCTTCATATTTTGCTTATTCCTCATCGAACCAACCAAGAAGAAAAGCAGCCGGCTGCCGTACAAATTTTACCAACCAAAATAATGAGTACAAGGAGGGGATATCAAAGCTCAAAAGTAAAGATGATTATTTATTTTAATTAACCTCCTCACGTAGTTTTAGAATTAGTAAATCTACTTTTAGAAGGTTAAGGTAAGTTGTTTTTTTATGTTTTATATATTGGGTCTGTTAATTGTAGATTTATTAGGAATTGATTTTGTGAAGAAATTATTTTTTTGGATAAATGTGTAATTAAAAATTAGAAAAAAATTATAAATTCACTTAAACAAAATTATTTATTAAAAAAATGAATTGAAGAAAATGAGTTATCTCTCCGCCAAATTACGAGAATGAATCTTGTTTTATCGAGGATATAAATCTAAAAAAATATTTATTCTGAAATTTGCTATACATATTTAGGATAAGATGAGCACCGGTGCGGTACTCATCTCATTAGATCATTTCTGTATATATATATATAAACTTGTCAAACGGAGCTTTTAGTCAGGATCCATCTCCTAATCTTCATTGGGCTTATTTTCTGACTTGTGGAGACAACTGCTACATAGTTACATCTCCTAATCTTTATAACTGCTACAAAGTTATTTCTGTTTCTGGTCAAATTAATTTGCATAGAATTTCTATTCTTTACTTGAGAAGATAACTAAAGGCACAAGAACAGCTATGGATTCAAATTCTTCTGAAGAAATTGTAAAGATATAATTCTCAAATAAATCCTAATTCCTAACCATGACAGTTCATGGGCTTAAAGGCAGCCATTCCATTGCTACAAAAATTTTAACAATGTTTACACCACCATTTACTCATTTATATACCTCAAGACATCTTCCAGCCAAGAAAATAACACTAGTACAACTGGACAACTTTTACAAACCTTTCTAACTAACACAAGCCTGCAGAATGTACTGAAAAAATAATCCTCCAAACAAAGAATCCAGGGTATGACCACCACCAAATGTAAGAACTAGTCCGACTCAAACTATCCGAAGCTTTCTTGCAGCATTATCACCCTGCAAACAAATTTTAATCAGCCGGTTATAATTATTATTACCATCTGCACAATAAATTGAGAATCTAACACTATTTTTCTATATCTGCCGGCGTTGATAGTATCAACTCCGAGAAATTGAGTTACATTTCAACATTTGAAAAGTTTGCTGATGAATGTTTTGGAAGATAAAATCTCTAAATTATTATGCCCTGTTTGTCTCCCTTTAAAACAAACATTTTTCATTATCATACTCATTTCAACCACACATTTACACAATAAAATATTTTGCACGTAATCTAAAACTTTTCCCTACTTTTTAACTACACATTCTCCAAAAAATCACTATTCAAAACTTCATTTTTTCAAAATGATGGCCATTGGACGGGCTAAATAATCAAACATTTTCAAATAACAAGACTTGACTTCGTTGGACAACACCACAACAAGATCGAATTGAGTACCACATGGTGATCACAAAAGTTATTCATTTAATTAAAAGGCGATTGAATCTATATATGAAGCTCATTAGGATTAGTATTGCTAACTCACATCTTCAATACGATAAGATCTGCTCATCGATGGATTCAGTCGAGAAGTTTCAGCAGAAGAGGGCGACTCCACCACAGCAATGCCATGATGTTGACCAATCTGCAAATTGAAAAGACCACAATGCATGTAAAGATGCCATATATGCACCACAAAATGATTGTTTATTGAAAGTGATGTGTATAAAAAATACTAAAGCATTCAGGGGAAAGATGATTAACAGTTTCTAAGAGCATATGTGGTTCTCGGACATCATTATCATTGAGCCTCTGTTTGTTAGCCATTAAAAAGAGTTTTTTTGGGGGAAAATGAGTTTTAAAATAGTGATTTTTTGGAAGATGTGTGATTAAAAAGTAAGAAAAAAGTTTTGGGTTTACGTGCAAAATATTTTATTTTGTGAATTTGTGGTTAAAAATGAGTTCCAGAAGAAAAGAGTTTTGAAAAAATGGATGACAAACAGGGCCTAAGTAAACCCCACAGATCCATATACAGCCTTCAGTTTTTCCTTTCTTCTATTTTAAATCTTTCGTGCTATTTCTGATTATTGTCCTCGTGGTCATCAACTATTTCCTCCATCATCAGTTTTAGATTTATGACAATCAGGAGACTATTTGAGAGGGCTTTATACCACTTCTGTAGTGTTGGCTACTGCAAAAACTTTCTCCAGATCAGTTCTGCTTGCTTCTAAATTGAAATGCTACTGCTACATCAAAATATCCTTCTTCTACAGCAAATCAATCTGGTGTGGCGTCTACTTATTAATTCAGTTATAGCCGAACATATACCTATTTCAGGACCACTGAACTAAATCATTCATGTGAAACATCTTTTTTTCCCCTCTAAACAACATGATCTTTGCATTTTCTATTTTCTCATTTGTGTAAGCTTACATTTCCTAAAATTTCATGAGCCTTGTGGGGGTGAGAGATATAAAGCTTTAGAGTGATGCTTAGCTTCTCAACTTTGAGTTGATGCAGCCACTTCTAATTTTCTCTGCGTGCTTATGTGTTTTCTTTTATTTTTTCTTTCGAACGGCTTAAAAATAGTGAGAAGATCATACCCCTAACAAACTTGCATCATCTCTACCATCTTCAAAAAGAGATGAAAAATATGCTGGATCATATACAGCGCCTCCACTAACATTATCCGAACCAGACGGATGACTAACTATAGGAGTTGCAGGATTGAGAAAACTATTTCTCGAATCAACATCTGTTTCTCGGGGAGCTGAATTGTCTATGTAAGAAGCACCCAATCTGTACATCTGTATCCACAGTAATGAAGATGATAACCTTACTGAAAACCCAATAATTTGCATGGTTAGGGCGAGCTTCACCGAAAGGATAACAAAGGTTCCATAAATCTCTGATGAAATGTGCCTGCATGAATAGATCAAACTTTAGAAGAATCAAAAGATGGCAACTATGAGAAGACAGATGTATTGGATAAAATTAACAATCAAAGGCGTGCAGTATGTTTGTTGGTGGGGGTGGTGGGGAGCTCATGTCCCCACATCACAACAAAAATAAGCATTTGCCAGACATAGATGGACAGAAGCACCCAGACGAGTAATGCAGTAAGACTATGCAATTTATGTCAATCTATCTGGAGTCACAAACAACATTCTGTAACAATCCAAAACATTTCTTCAATGTAGTTGTCTAATTTGCTTGTTTTTGGTTCTTAACCATGAGACTAAAGTATATGATTCAAAATATGAATTGTTCTTTAAGTTGATTCGCTTGATCTTTTATTTTCATAACATGAAAAAAAAAAGGTCAATAATTCTGCAAACATGAATTTCCTCAGTTCAACATTAGCATCAGCAAATGTAGAGAGAGAAAAAGAGATTTGACAACCAATCTTGAATTACTATGCTATAGAAATAACTAAGGGAATTGAGACTTTAGATACAAGTGAGGATGCACCATAAAGTGTATCTTTCAGACTGAATGACTCCATGAAATGACATCGATACTTCCACTTAGAGAATTCAGATATAAGAGAAGATGCATTGGCAAGTGTATCTTCTGCCTGTACCAAAATGATGTAGCATATTTTCTGTTCCAGCTCCGTACAGTGCTTCTCTGATGCTTTGTATCCAGATAAAATTAACAAGAGGACATGAAGTCAAGAACTAGGTTTGTGGGAAACTAAGTGCATAGAATCTTCAAAGAAATGAAAGTTTTGGCCAAGCCTAAACTCTCGTAAACATAATTATAAGTGTGTTTTGTCCATTCAATGGTGGGGATATATACTCTCCCATGAAGGTGGGAAGTTTTAGCTTCCCCCTACATGCATAGCAAATTGCATGGAGCTAAGTGAAGAAAGCTCAATAAAATCACATGAAGATGATGCATAGCAAAAATGAAAAAAGTATATCGTTTGGTAAAAGTACACGCTAGATCTTTCTCCTCCTTCTGACCCAAGATTTCGGGGTGGGTGGGTACTCACCTGTCCCATTTTTAAAGATCATTTTCAATCTCTGAGCATCATTATAATTTGTTTTGTTCTTTAAGCTTAAATCTTTAATGTCAATAATTTTTTCTTGGTTTTCGATAATTGTTATTATTGAAATTTCGTAACTAACTAAGTATTAAGTGCTCCCAAAAGAAGAAAATATTGTTTGAAGAAAAGTGTTAAAAAGAATTTATTGATCTGCGGTGATAGGAATATATACATTTAGCTTGTAGAGTTATAGATCAATTATTGACTGACAGCAATGTTGAGGAGTAAAGATGCACTTCACATGCTTGTATGCATTCGCAGGGGACCAGTGAACCTAACTGAGCCAAACTAAGGTAGTCTGGATTTATCCAGCTACGAACTTAGATAGCTAGGACTTCCCTTGTATTCATTCAAGCTTGGAAAAACCCAACTGGAAATCAGCTCATAAGAAGCCAGCTTTTGTTCATTCATCGATGGAGACGTAGTGAATATTCTTATCCAGAATTCTTCACTGTGTTTTGGGCCTTGGCGGTGTCTCTCCCAACAGGCCTCTTTTAGTTAAAGACAAAATCTAACTAAGAATACACAACATTACTTTCTAATTATGCCCTGTCTTCATCTTCGACGAAATATGAAATAAAGCCAGTCATGAAACTTGTTAGAACTGGATATAGTCATTTAAAGAACAGTTGCGCTTCCCAATATTCAGGCATTATACCATATTTTGCTTCTTCCATATAATTGATCGTGTGAAGGGAAGTGAGATTTGCCCAAAGCTAACTCAATTCAAAGGTTCAACTAAGGAAAATAGTCGCCTGATTACAAGGGTAACACTGTGCATAATGCATTTGGATGTTACTGACCCTGCTATTGGTGGACTTGTGAAGTGGATTTGTATTATCATCTGCACAAGCCAGGCATTTTCACCATTGACAACGGGAGAAATACATCAATAGATCATAAAAATACTGTCATAATTATCAACCAGTTTGAATGAAGAAACTACATGACAATTTAAACACCCAATGAATTCTTGCAACTATAATAAGGAATTGAAACTACACGTCTATGCGACATCGCATGCATCAAACTAGTTTTAACTGAACACCTGGAAATATCCGTGCATCTAAATAAATGATCAATATAAACATTTGTGAATTCAAGAGTATTTCTAACTGTTTTCTTGAATTAAAACATGCCAAGAATCATGATATGGAAATGGAGAAGAAGAAGCCGTAATAGTAATAAGAAATGGTCGCACCAGATTTCGTGAGAGAAGAGAATGAACCAGGCAACATCGAGCAATATAGAGCACAAGAGAAGAACGGCATAGGTCCTGCCAAGACTTTGGCTGCTGCTCTCAATGGCGACAAGCGCGAATAACGAAACTGCCAAATTAGCGAGCAAGAGCCCGTTGTAAAACGCTCCAAGCGATCCAATCAATGAGCAACCAATCTGAACGTAGATCAATTTAACTGCAAGCGACTGAATCCTATCATAATCCCGAATCCATGTCTCCACTTCTCTCCACCTCAATCCACAACGCATCATATGCTCCCCAGCAATTCCTACTTTATCACTTCACTATTAATTCCTTTTCTAAAGGGATCCCTTTTTCAAAGTAATTAAATTTGATAACAAATTTCCGTTAAGAAAGGGGAAAGCCTAACCTAACCTAGTGTTGATTTCAACCAAAGTTTGTTGCATAACTAATAGCAGTAACTGAGATTGGCCGTTGTGCTTGCATTGAAGTTGCACAAATGCCTCCATTCCACCTCTGCTCTGCCTCTGCTTGCTGTTGATTAAAATTCGAGTTAATATAAGTTACATTTTATCAATTTAATAAGTACCAAACAGGCGCCTAATTTCTCAAATTGGAAGCTAAAAATAGTAATAATTATAAAAACTTTATTGACGGGAGACGTTCAAAGTCATTTTAATTAGAATCCAACGTCTCAAATTGGAATTGGAGGTTTCGATCCACTTTCAAAAGAATTTGGAACTGAATCGATAATTGATCGGGTTTGGAATGGCTACTGGTTTTTGAACCGTCGTGAACATTGCACTCTTGGCAATTTTTCCTTATTTATAAGGTTTTTTTTCTTTTTTTGCAAATTATTCATCATTGTCTAGTTTTTCGATCCATCAAGTAGCAAGTTTGTAAGGTCAAAAGAGCAAGTACCCATAATTAATCGGATTCATCCATTTGAATAAGTTTACGAGCTCATCGTCCCACAAATCCTTCTTGAAGTGTAGCACACGAGCCATAAAAGAATTGGATTGTATTATTTTAAATATTCAATGTTATTCGTTGGCATATTTACATTAAATTAAGAAAGTGTTAAAATGTATATTTGGTGACATTTTTATTTTTTTCATTTTTGTTAGATATTGAAAATGTAATTTGTTTTATGAACTCGTGATTAACAACACATAAATGCAACATATTCACGTTAACACGCTATGAAATAATTGTCCTTTTGACCCGATTGAAAATTTTATTTTGGCATTTGACCAATTTTATCCATTTTTTTAAAAGAAAAACTTCGCATTTTCTTTTTTCCCCTTTATACCCTTCAACCCTAAAGAACAGAAACGACGGTTAAAACTCAAAAGTGGAGAAGACAACAGCTCCCAAGAAAACTGGCAAAGAAGAAGCAGTAGCAGCAAAGAAGAAGAAGAAATTGAACGGTATTTGTGTACTTCAACATTCAAAAATTGAACGGACATTTGCAAACTTCAGCTTTACCTATCTAATTTCAACGGCCACAACAATTCACCGCGAGATGAACTATTCAAGTCGTGAGGAAGATTAAGCAAAATTCTTATTTATTTATTGAGGTTAAAGACTGGAAATGTTGAATTGAACACTTTTCTTTCTCAAAAAAATGGGGTCAAACAAGTTTTATTTTAAATCTTACGTAAATTTACTTAAATAGACATATATAAAATTATGTTAAAATATATATCACACTAAATTCATCAACTAATATATCTATACAATGTAATATTTTTTTGACACATTTTTTTTAAACTTCTTTGTCAGAAAAAAAAATGCTCGATAGATACTCAAATGGGAGTGAGATCCACGTGAATAAAAGAAGGCAAAAAAATTCTTGTCCACCCTATTGCGAGGGGTCTGTCAGGAATGATGTCAAACCCTTCCGACATCATAGCATGATTACTTTCCAAATTAATCTAGCCATTATAAAAACGGTTTGTTCCCATTTTTTGCCCAACATTCCTAACCATTTGAACAATGGCTAATGGATACTGTTGCAAGTTTCAGTCTTCTGCAAAATCTCCATTTGGTTCTTTAAAACGACCTCCCCTCCCCCCCGAGCTATTGTTGTTGTTGTAGTAGGCAGAAAATGGGAGCCTGGAGGCAGTGGCCTGTTGTTGCAACCACTGACACTGCCCTCCATGCTACCAATCTCTCGTCAGGATGATTGCATTCGAAAACTATAATAGGCCTAAATAGGTTCAAATCGTCTTGCAATTGCAATCGTAGTCCCCAAATATATCTTGACACTAATTGATCATCTGATTCAACTATTACGTTATGCGCCAAGGATTGATGAAAGTTCCATAGTATATTGATCCATCGAACGAGAACTTCGCAAGTTTTGGAATCTGTTATACAGGGTTATTCAGTAGTTATAGGGCGAGAATGTTGCTCACATACACTTCTTTAACTTAATCTACGAATCAATCTTGGCCTCGCCATTTCTAGCCCAACTGATTTTGAATTGTTTCCACCAAATTTACCTGTTTGTAATCGGGACGTCCCTAAAATCAAGGATTTCTTCCACCGAGCGCACCCAGTCAAGGAATTTGCATTTTCTCCAAGTTAGTTTGTCATTGTTTTAATTTGTATGCTTTGGACAGGTTCTTGGGAATGATGAAGATTCTTTATTTATTTCTTTAGAATATGCTATGTGTACATAATTTATATACACACAGGTGTCCACACGCCTCACGTATTTTAACACCAAGGGTATTCCCATTTCTTTGACCACAAAAACGTATAACGTTCTCCAGATTACATCCAAATTGCATGTCATTGAACTTGGAGCCCAGCCAGATGAACTTTTCTAATGGGATAATTACATAAAATCAGCTATTTAGTTTTAAGTTTCTGAAAATCAGGTTTTAACTTTATTTAATCAAAAATCAGGTTTTAATTTCACAATTAATATTAATAATGATATTTTAAATTAAATTAATCTATATACCCACCCCTACCCCTACCCCCAAAATTTCAATCACAATTCCCAAACCCTCATCTCTCTTCCGTCTCTTCCCCTTC